GATAGATAGATAGATAGATAGATAGATAGATAGATAGATAGATAGATTTTCATGCTTTATATTTACATTCAAAATGTTTTTGGGAGTCAGCACCACAAACTTTAATGTAGACACAGTGTTCTGTCTCCTGTAGCTCCAGAGAAATAATTGTAAGCAGATTGTCATTTTTACCCTGCAGGTGAGCGCTTTGTCTAACAATAAGAGACCAGATATGAGATGGAAATAGAACCAGAGCTGCAATTTTGATATGCAAAAAGAGCTATGTTATGTTTAAATCTCACAGATTTGACTCATCCCTTTTCTACACCACTTATTCCCACCGGGGTGGGGGGGGTGCAGCCCATCCCGTGGGCCGGAGGCGGGTCCACCTGGACAGGTGGCGGTCCATCACAGGACCAGTCCACCCACCGAGTTAGACAGAAATGTGACAAAGATGTCCCTACAATCCAAGGGAAATCTCTTCATCGTGTAAGAAAAAAATTCACACTAAAACTATAAGACAAGCATTTAAAGTTGCCTTTAGAATAACTGACTTTAAAATGGCTTTTAAATGATTTTCAGCATATCACTTAATGATTAATGACACTCAAGTATCCCGTTTTTATTTTTGCAGAAAGAATACACAGATAAAAAAAAAAACTTACTTTCCCTCAAAAATGGATAAAAAATGGAAAAAAGCCTATAAATGAGTTTACAATCTATGGAACTGTAGATAGTCTCATGAACCCAGACGCATGCGCACTGATGACGGACAGCTCCTCTCACACAGCAGGGGCTCTCTCCCCTCTTTTCCCCTCAGGAAGATCTGTCACTTTGAACTTTAAATGAAAAATGCTGCGTCATATTAAAGACAGCTTCACTCCCACATTTAAAGGGACAGGAAGTATTGCACACACACACTAGGATCCTCCTGCCTAAGCAAACATGGTCCAAACGAGCAAACGATACCCAGAATCTGCAGAGTCCACGGAGGCTTCCTACCTGGTGCGGAGTCTGCTGGAAGCTGCAGAGTTTCAGCTGCTTTGGTTTCAGATTCAGCATTTTTATCTGCAGAGTCACGTCCCAGAGCCTCTGACCTCACTGCATCGGGTTACAGCACTTTATTTCCCGGGGTTTCCACACTTTTTGTTTCCATTTCAATGAGAAACAACACACTGTCACCAGAGATGCTCTTCCCTGGTTTAGTTGTGTTTCCTGAAGCCATGAGCTGCTGATCCCGGAGGCTCCGCTCTGCCCCCTGCTGCTCAGCCCCGGAACTGCAGCTCTGTGGAGCCCCCCCAAACGAGACCACCTCCAGACCCCGGTCATCTGAAGCAGCCGTTTGGGGCCATAACCCCTCCATAACGCACAGCATAACCTCAGCTGCCGTCAGGAGTCTGGCACCTGAATCTGGAGCCTCAACCCAAAACCTGAGACAGCCGAGGCCCCCAAACCCCCAAAACACCCTTTTTTTTTAGGCAGATGACCCTGATGCAAACTGGAGTCCTGTTGCTCACCTCCTCTCCAGTGTGGATGTTTATGGTGGACTAAAGCAGCAGCCGGATAAAACTAAATCAGCCGGCTTCAAACGGGACACAAGGATGGGGAAACGGATCACTGGATAAATGCTAAGTTCTATCCTCCTCCAGGTGCTGAAAAACTGTCTGTTTCCTTCTGATTTTCCCTAAATCAAAACTCACACACATGGAAATAACGCAGACTGACCCGGTCAAACACTCTCTGGATGGAAATCATTAAACCCCAGCAGGAGCTGAGTGAAATCCAGTTTAATCAACAACTTCTGACATCACATTGTTTAACCATCCAATGGAATTAAATCAGGTTTTCAGAATGTGTGAGTGTAGATGAGTGACTTCAGACAGAAAGGAATGATTTAAAGCGGTAAACTGCACCCTCACTGATCCTTCAGAACAAAAGAATCAAAGCAAAGACAAATTATTGACCAGAAGTAGATTTTATATAAAATTTGAACAGTGGATACAGAGGTGATATTATGTATATAAAAAAATACATACAATTAAAAGGAAAATAAATGAATCTTTTATTTTGAGCAGATGTTCAAGTTAGCAGATGAAATGTAAAAGGCACTAAATGTACAACATTCCAGTTTTAAAGACGTTGAACTGAGGCCAAGGTCATTAAGAGATGAACAAACAACAAAATCAGAATCACAGGGCATTGTTGTCTTTGATATGCAAGACATAGTGCAGATTTTACAAAACATAACATATCAAACAATTCGCAAGTAACACACAACCACTTAAACATGGACCGACATGGAGCCTGCCCTCTGGGAGCGCTGGGGGGCGGGGCCTCACCCCCCCTCACCCCCCAGCCCCCAGCGCTGCATGGAGTTTGGTTCAACTGGCAGGCGTTCATAATTTATACTTTATATCACAATTTCTACAACAGCACGAAACACTGCAACAAGTCAGGACGAGAAGCAAAGCGGCCGGCGTGTGGGGGGGCTGTGGGGGCCGGCGTGTGGGGGGGCTGTGGGGGCCGGCGGCGGCGTGGGGGCCGGCCGGTACGGGCACGCTGCCCAGCCGCCAGCACAGCTAACAAGAACCAACGGGACAGACCCGGAGAGGACGGGGGACCACGCAGCCCCCCCTCAAACAGGAGCAGGATGAGGCTTCCTTCAGTCAGAGGGCAGCTCTGGCCACAGGTTCAGACCCAGCTACCGTCACAGGTCAAAGGTCACAGGTCACTGCCTGCTGCTCTGCCCCCCCACACCCACGTCCCTCTGCTTTCACAAGCTAAGCAGCCCCTGCTTACAGGAACGGCTGGGCTGGACATTCAGCTGCAGCAGACTGAGCTGACCGTTTCTCTCTCTGACCACCGGGGGCTGTCCTCCAGTGGGATGCTGGAGGACCCCGGCGTGGCTCTGAAAGCCGTTGAGGCGTGGCTCTGAGGCACAGAGGCAGCTCCTCCTCTGTACAGGCCTAGGTCTCCTGAAACAGGACCTCAGTACCTGAGCAGCAGAGGGGGACGGGGACCTTAAACAGTCCCGTTGGAGCAGTTCTGTGGTGTGGTTTGAGCGGTGGACTAAAGCTAGCGTCCTGCTGAGCGTTTCGAGGGCCGGGCTGAGGGCCTGCGTGCTCCCCCGGCTGGAATGACTCACAGTAAGAAACACCTCGCTGCAGATACAGAGCACCGGTGCACGAGCTCTGGGCTTTTACTGCATTTGGAATCACATCAGGATGGCTTTCAGATTGGTCACAACACAAAGATCCTCCTCAGTATCCAAAACATACACAAAGACAATTATCAACAGAAATTTGGCTTGAAAACAATAATGGAAATTTGGAATGCAATTAAAGCTTCAAAGCACCTGGAAAAAAAAGACTGCTATAAAGACATTTGGCCCTTTAGTGAGGAAAACGTTTAGCATAACATAAGTGTAAAAACAGCTTGTTGTATTAGTAGATTGCATGCAAACTGTGTATTTAGAACTAGTTTCTTTAACAAATGACATTACCTGCTGTTTGAGTGACAGGAGAGCTTTACCCCAAATGAGCATTCTTGTCAACATGCACGTTTCCAACAAAGCTTGCATGGAATAATGAGCTCCTCTCAGGACGAGAAGCCTTTTAAAGAAGGCAGTGACGGGGAACCTGCAGATCTGACTAGTGAGCTGAAAATCTACAAATCCAGTTGTGCTCCTAAGTTTACCTGTTTGTATCCCTTTCCTGCTTATAAAGTTCAACTACCCATGACTCCAGAAAGGTGTGCTAGTAATCCACACCGAACACGAGCACACAGCCCACCGGTGAGGGGTTCAGCTCAGAGGCCACTCAAACCCACCGGTGGTCACTACTGTGCATGTTATAGGGCCAAAATCACCGGGGAGTGGAAACATTTGTACCTCTACGGCTTTTGTTGTCATTGTGACTTTACAATAGAAAACACAGTTGTTCATCACTGAATGGCTTCATCCAAACACTAACCGTGAACACGTGCTATCATTTCTGTTCTCTGAACAGTAAATGGTGGGGCTTCTGTAAATAACTTCAGAGTAGGTCAGACCTGCTCTGTTTGAAAGCGCTGTGAGATAACTGTAGTGATGTGGCGCTATAGAAATACAATAGAATTGAATTGAATTAAATTGAAAAAGGCCAAGAAGGCAGAAATTCTGCAGGGGAATGTAAACTTCTGAGCACAACTGTAGGAACCCCGAGCCACAGAAAAGAAGCTGACGCTCCACACGGGTGAGCCTCCAGAGGCACACAGCAACACGAGCGCACAGAGCTGAAGCTAACACAACTAGCACTAGCACTAGCACTAGCACTAGCAGACCACGGCCCACTGAGGCACACCACTGTACGGCCAGGGGGGTCAACGGCATGCAGGGTCAGAGCGGGGAGGACGGCCTTCTGCCGGCTGCTGCACCTGAGCAGGTCAGACACAGTGGGGGGGGGGGGGGGGGTCACATCAGGGGAATCTGAGGGACAGGTTTGTTGGGCCTATACGTCTGAACTGGGTTAAAGGCAGTATATGCTGGGGCACCACATCTAAAAGTGGAGCCTGTGTACCTGCCGTCTTCACACTTCTGTGGCAGAGTCATGCTGGAGCATTAAAGTGTGACTGTCACCTGAAATAAAGCCTACTGCTAACACATCTGCTGCCCTACACTCCTAACTACAGAACCAAACGTTTAGCCTCTTAGTTGCACAGAGATTTGGCAACAGGCAGTCATTTAAGTTAAAGAACTGATCAGAATGAACAGGCCCCCTTCTGTATTCATCACTAACACAACTATGTGACAAAGGGAACCGTTACCCAACAGCCACAGAGTTACAGTCATTAAGCTGAGTTTAAACAGTAGTTTGCTTGATCTAAAGCGAGTTGTGGGTTTAGTCCTTAAGCGTGCACTGACACACCCACTCACGTAATAATGCAACAGCCAGCAGAAACGCTCCTCTTTCAGGGAGTGGAGGCGTTGAGGGGACGAGACTACAGCCATTAGAAAATAGAGCTCTTTTACACTGGGAATGTTGCTGCTTTAGGCTGTGTCCCTGGACTGGAGAACAACTTAGAGGTCCATGCAGCCTCAACCGGAGGTTTCCCAGCTTCTTTTTTTCTTTTCACAACAAAGCACGTGTAGACATTATCGTACAACAGCTTCATGCTTTTAGAGGACAAAATATAGAGAAAAAAGAGAGAGAGAAACAAGAGAAACTGCACTAATTAGTTCCCTGTTTATATACACGGCCAGGCCAAAAGAAGTCCCAGCTGGATGGACAGAGGCTCCTGCTGGATGATGTCTGCATGGGGAGTTCTCCCCCCAGCGGATGGGCTGCTCGTTTCTTAAACATGTGGAAAGACATGGAAAACCCCTTAGTCTGTGTAAGAAAGCTCAAATCCATGGCGGCAGGCCCAGAAAACACCTGAGGAGATTGGAACTGCTGAAAATGTCCAGCGCATCATTAAAAACCGGAGGGGAGGGGGGGACTCTTCATCCTGGATAAAGATCTTAATCTGGAATCAGAACCAATGGAGAGGCTTTAGGATGAGCTGAGCAGGCTCCATCATCCAGTCAGGATGTGGGTGAAACACTCCTGTGAAACTGGGTGGAACTACGTGTGGGGTCACTGCAGAAGCTTCCAGAATCACAGGGAACGACGTCATCCAGGCTGGAGCCGTCCAACCAGCACCACGTGGGACCTCCTTTGGCCAGGCAGTGTATATTCCCACCCCTCCCAGAGCAGCTGATAGAGGTCTCACACTTTACTGTTTCCTTTTTTTTGCTTTTTTTTCCTTTTTTGTTTTTGGTCCCATCTTCTCAGTTTTTACGGATGTCGGCGTAGACCACTGGCTCCATCTTATGGAAGGAGTTTTTGCTGCCTGAGTGATCCAGCTGGGCGTATATCACCGGGCCCTGCAGCCAAACACAGAGCAAAGGGCAGAGGTGAGAGGCAGCAGCCCCAGGAGCAGCTGCTGGTGTCCTGAAACTCATCAGTCAGCCACAACATTACAACCGGACAGGCTGGGGGGGGGGGGGCCCAATGCCCCGCAAAAACCTGGGAACTGTAACGCTACTGGAAGCCTGAGATTCTGCTGGACCCACAGCAGCAGCCCCCCCCACACACCCATGTGCCCTGGCCCCCACAAACCCTGCAACAAAGGGCTGACAGTGGCCCCGCCTCCAGCCCATCATCTGTCCCCATCCCAACCAACAGCAGCCCAATGACCGCAGACAGGAAGCACAGGACGCTCCGGGGGGGGGGGGGGGGGGGGGGGGGGGGGG